TGTTGCGCAAGGACTGTGGGTAGGTGGAAAATTCACCGAGTTGATAATGCACACAGCCAATTGAATTAAACTAAATGAAAGCCATATTTTAAAGCCCACTTTGCTGGGCCTGCAGCAGCAAGAGCCCCCTGGTTGGGTGTGCATAAATTGCTGCTATTGTTTAAATATTTGCCAACATAATTAACTTAATTCAATTGGATTTCCATTAGAGACGCACGCACAACTTGAAGCGAGGAGTGCCGAGATTGCCTCGGTGTTTGCCCAGCCAAGGTAGCCCAACCCCATACCAGGATGCAAGGATACCAGGACATCCTGTGCTGAATCAAAGGATTGGGCCTGCATATCATATGAGCTGGAAGATGAGATGCGTAGCATGGCTCCCCTTTGACTTTGTCTACGACTCTTCGACGACGTTGTCTATTGACTTTCGAAATCGAATCGAATCGCATCGAAGGCAGCAGCAGATCACACAATAAAATAATTGATTCCATTTCAAATGCACACACAGAGAGGAGATTCGGCAGCATGCGGGTCGTATCGGGACAGACAGAGGACTGCATTTGCCGTCTAGTGCTGAGTACAACTTTATTTTCATTGTTTGCAGATTTAACATTTAACGCAACACAAACACAGAGTCAGCCGAGTCAGCTCAACTTTGGCTTCCAGTTCAGCACTCTGTATTATTTATGGGCTGTTCAGAAGAGGAGGTCCTTCGATTAGGCGTCCTTGTTGACCGCCTTCAGCAGTTCCTTGCGTGTTTTGAGGCGCATCCTTAGGTTCGAAATGAGGCGCACCGTACAGAAGTAGATAAGTTCCACGATACTGAGCATGGAAACGCCCATGAACAGGCCAAGTAAACCTCCACAATTGGCAAGAAAGTCGGTGGTACCGTAAAGCTCTGAGCGCCTAGAGGTCAGAAACTGCGCCTCCTTGAAGAAGATCGACACTCGGGACATTTTCATTCTGTTGAAAAGGAATTTTTAGGGAGTATTAGGAAAATCGGCCGATTTCTCAATGTCCGGTTAAGGTTTTAGCTTGTTATCTGTCGGAGAGCAAGCTTAAAGTTAAATTGATCGTAAAAGGCCGAAAGATATATTAGTTTTCTCAATGTTCTGTTAGTTTTACGAGTGAAACCTCTAGTTATGAGTTTTCAATGAAATAAACACTAACTCTACGACAAACATTAACACGACATTGAGAAATCGGCCCAAAGCTTTTGGGCATTTTTGTAATAATATTATAAATCTGAGGTAAGAATATAATATTTGACTTACCCCTGTCTCTTGGCTTGTTCCTCTTTTCCCTCTGGCGTATCAGTATTGATCACTGTCTTGTAATCGAAGTCAGCCTGGGAAATCTCAGCCTCGTAGGCGATCGATGTGCATGATGGTAGGCAGTTGCACTCAGTCTCTCCCCGTGTATTTTCCCCTGCGTTAATCAAACCCTGGGAGAATTCCCTGAGCAGCAGCTCATCCTCCGCCTGGTTATAGCACTTCAAACTGGCATCACCACAAACGGGCATATTTACATTACCTGCAAAATAGGTGCAGAATTAGTTAAGGCCCTGTGGGATTTTTCAGAACCATCTTACGTGGCATAGAGAACTTGACGCAGCCACATTTGGTCAAAGTAAAGTTGGCCAAACACTCCAGTTCGCAATTACTCTGCGAGTAGATATTAAAGTAGCGCAGCTCCTTTTCCTTCTGGAAGTAACACTGCCTTCTATTGGGTTCGTAGTGCTTCAGCCCATCCGATGTGGTGATGATCTTGGGTCGTATAGAGATGAGCACTTCCTGGTCGAAGGGTATGCGGAAGTACTGCTTGGACACTTGGGCAACATCTCCTGGGGTGTGTAACAAAATCTAAGAAGGATAACCTTCAGTTAACCTACGGTTAAAGTAAGTTTCTTATATTTCCACCTTGAAACCCTGAACCGGACCACGGCACATGTCATCAAAATCGATTTCCGCACCACCCATAAATAGGTAAAGACCAGCTCGAGCTCCAGGGCCCAAAACTCGATTTGGATAAGGTGAGGTATCCGCACTAGCGCTATATCCATCCTCCACATTCCAGTCCATGGACAGACGATTTTCTTCGCGGAATATAAAGTCGGGTATAATGCTGGAACATGACTCCTATATTATAATAATTCTCGTAGTTCCAGTAGCAAATCTTACCCTTCTGCTCTAAAGATCTCCGCTGGACTGAGTGAGTTAAAACTATAGCAGACGCCATCCTCCGTCACGAATTTGTGGAATATGTCACTGCATTTAACCGGAGTATTTCGCCACTTGCAATTTAGATAGGTGTCATCGAAATATGGCGATGCCTCAGTCAGGGCGTCAATGATCTCCATGCCCCTCCGGGTTTTGTTACCCAGGGTTAAATCATGCAAGTGGGGCTCGCAAACCTGCGACACTGCGCCATATAGTCCCCTTCTATTAATGGAAAAATCATAGGAACCTTTATGTTCTCAGCCTGGAGACCCCAACTTACTGTTTTTCGGTGAGGTCCGGTACACCACTGACATTAAGCCGGAAATCGCGGATTTGGTGATACGAACCCGTAAAGTTGAATACCGCCCGTCTCGTCTTTGTCTCTGGACAAACTGTGACAGCGGGAAAGGGAATCTCCCACACGGGTGTGGACTTCTCGGCGAAACTGACTATCACCGGATTGTTATTCCACTTGTCCCAGATATTCAGGGTCAGTTTGACGCAGGTGAAGACCGATAGGACCAGGACACTGATCCAGAAGAGTCGCTCCAGCCAGGGTCGCTTCTTTTCACCCAAATAACGGATGCCATGGATGGTCGTGTAGTCGCAGTACTCATGGATGATGGCCTTGGCCGCCTGGAAGCCGCTCCCGTACTTGATCTGCTTCTTGGTGTCCACCTCGTCCTCGCTGTCATCGGAAACGGTCTCCCGGAATGCCGGAGCCATCCGGGCCATCAGAGCGGCCCGTTTCCACTGGTTGGCGGCGCAGGGCTGAGGACGCACTGCCACTGCCTCGTGGCTGGGCGTATGGGGTTGTGTGCTGTCCGTCGACATCCGGTCCTTCGTCCTGGAGATGCGTTGACTAAGTCAGCGGTGCGCACGCAAGTCTCCGGCTTTTATATACCCTCTGTCCATTCGTCCAGTGGGGTGCGGCTGGTGTCCTGGGAAGTCGGAGAACTGGTGTGTCCCGCAGGACTGCGACTACGGCACGCATATGTGCACTACCCAGTACTTTTCCCAGTATTTTTCGGCGCGGGTAGGTGACGAAGTTTTTGGTGGCGTTTCAATTACTTCATTTCGCTAAGCTGGCGTAATTTGCAAGCTAGCTCGGGAGCCCTGGCGTCCCCGGGGGCGGCGAACTTAATTGTCAACTCTTACCCATTGCCTCGGTTAAATGTCACCTTTGAGCCTGCACTAGGCGAGGCATTCTAATTAGCCAGCGCGCACTTTAAGCTCGCCAAGCCCCGGGCCACATCCACAGCCACATCCTCGTCATCTGCAACTTGCCACCGCGGCAGGTGCAGCCGAATGGCCATGGCCAAATTGAAAACGGCAACTTTCCGGCAAACCGGGCTTATGCATTTTAAATCCCGGCCTCCACTCGCCGCCACTTGACTGCAGGCGCTTAACTCGACCTCGAAACAAAATGGCAAACGGCTGCAGACGCCGACAATGTCGAGTCAAATCCTCAGGTTAAACATGGTGCCACAGCGGAAAAGCCGAAACCTCTTTACTACAGACCTTCAAATACTCTAACTAAAGGTTAGGCCCAGTGGATGGGCTCACATTTGTAAACTTTAATGTCTATTTAGTCAGAAAAATAATATTTAGACTCTACCTTTTATTTCTACAAATACTCTATTGTTTTTTTTTATTATGCAACAATTCTATAAATTTAGGTAAAATTAATATTAAAAATTGTCATCTATAATTAAATACCAAAGCCAGAAAATGCCTTCGGTTATACAAAACTTTTCCTTTAATTATTTTCCACTTACCTATCTTTAATCCCAATTGTCACAAAAATTCCATCTTACCGAATTTAAACCAAAATTCAAATTTCATTGTCAACGAAACCGGTTCAGAATCAAGTAAACAATTTAAAATCAATAAAGTACTTACAAATCTATTTTCAAAAAAATGTATCTGCTACAAAAATATTTGAACTCCATCGTATTTTTGTTTGGTTATCAAATAAATTGTCACTAGAACCAATAGAGATTTCCGGCGACCCTTGGTAAAAACTACATTAATATTAACTTGATCCATCTTCAAGGAACCTACATCCATTTCGACTAAACAAAATAATTGCAAAAGTGGTTCAGATAGGTATGTTAAACTAAGTTTCTTAACTATGTCCATTAAAAACAAAAAACTTAACTAAAAAAAACTTAAAATAAACCTTTTTATTTTAAAAACTTGAACGTAAGTCAATCTAGCACGTAGCTGAACATTTTCATTCTTTAAAATTTTTGTCAAAATGTACCTGTCCTTCAATAAGAGCAGTGAAAAATCGCAGTGGCCAGCGGCAAGGACACAAAAGCGGGCAAAAAGGCAACACCACACAACAGGATGCGACCATTTTGGGTGCGCATTTTAATAAAGTCGACTGCATTCGGGGGGCATTGTGTCTAAATTTTTAGGAGGTCTCGGGGAATTGCCGCCCAAACGGAAAAATGGGCAACTGGCACACCTTAACTCACCCTTTGTTGGGACTTTTCATTATTGTGACGCTGTGCCTTCAACAATGTTGGCATTGTCCTTGCACTTGCTGTTACCTGTTCCTTTTGCCAGCCGTAAACATTTACACACTCCTCTGCCTGGCAAAGTCTGGCGATCATTTATTTTAATGAGCTGCGAAATAGAATTTCTGATGCGTCGCCAGAAATGAAACTGGGAAAAGTTCCCTTTGACTTAAAGAAATTGCTTACCCTTTAACTCATATACCATTAAAAGACTCGATGGATTATATATCTGTATATATATATATATATATATATATATATTTGGTATTCTCATTTTGCATAATACATTTCATTTGTTGGTTTATATGCTTTAGCTGGAGGACATTGAATTGAATGTTGTTACTGTTTACAAATTGTTTGCTTGGTAAGTACATAATACGTTGATTAACCTATTTACATAGCCGCTACTTTTGATATAGTTATTCCAGAATATAGTCGCTATTAATATTACGCATATTTGATTATGGTTCTAGATAATAATAATATATATAGCAAGTTTCTCCGAATTTGTTTTTGAAACACCTGTTGTCACTATGCTACTTTTGATATACACTTTGCGTGGGTTAATTTGGTACCAACTACGATTAATTTATTCCGTAAATAATATTCAATATCCAAAATATATATAAACATCGGTTAAAGCCGGCACCGGACCTGGTTCCGGTTAATAACAATGATCTTATAATTCCGTAAATTGTATCCTTGTAATTGTTATTAACTATATACAAAGCTCGATTACCGTTCAATTCGCACCGCCGACAGGCGGTGACAGTTTAAGCTTTCCATAATTTTACCTATACGTTCACTTATGCAGTTTTGAAACCCAATAAATAAATACTCTCCCGTTTGAAACGCTAAACCCAAAGGACATGCAAACAACAGAAACACAAAGGCGTTTACAATTACAATTACAATTACAATTACGAATACAAATACATTACATATAAACGTACACATGGCTGTAATTGATATAGCTACCGCAGTACACTATATACTTAGCTGCTCGTATGTCATAACTATGGCTAATTTAAAATGATATGTTTGCTGTAATTTACGTTATTCATTCCTCTTGTTTTTTCCCTTTTTTATCTGACTTATTAGCTTCCCGCCGGGGTTAGTCTGTTACAAAAATACTGAAGAAATTGCACTTGTATCGGTTTACGATAGCACAAAACACCACTCCAAAGGGAGTCTTCTGAGCCCGCTTGTCCTTTCCAGGGGCTTGAGACTCTGCTCTTGACCTTTGACCTATTGTGGTGCGAGGGCCAGGCTCAAGCTGTTCGACATCAGGCTCAAGGCATTGGCAGTTGGCGCTGCGGCTGAACCGGTAGTCTCCTGTAAGTGGAAGAATAAGGAGATCAAGATGTATCAGATAGCAACCTATTTTAAAATTTTATTTAACATTTACATATAAGGGGTGCATAAGAATTTAATCAGAAATCACTTTGAAAGGTGTTTTAAAAAAGTGAAAAAAACCACGCCTTCCACGCCAATACCATAGTGATTTTTGAGGAGCCCTGTTTCAAACTTAAAGTATTAATAAAAGTATTAAAAAGTATGCAAAACGTCAAAACATTGTTGCATACTTTTAGACAATTTAAAGGTGTTTCAAAATGTGCAGTGAAAAAACAACACCTTTAAAAGTAATTTCTAGACCATAGTGATTTTTGAGGAACCCTGTTTCAAATTACAAGCATTTATAAAATATTTGAAAAGTATACAGATCTTCAAAATATTGTGGCATACTTTTAGACACTTTTATAAGAGGTTTAAGGAACATAGAGATATAAATGTCACTTTCGATGCTTGTAAATTAAATATAGGAAGTTACAGAAATCTCTTTCAACCAATTTCCTGCAACCTCCTTAACTTCAACTAAATAATTTAAAGAATTTGTTTACAAGTCAAAAAGCAGAACTCCCCGAAACCAACCAAATTTTTTTGGGATTTTTGATATCAATAATTTTGTATAATTGATTAAGATTTGTTTTCCTGCCAAGGATCTTCCATACTCACAATGCTTAGAGTCCGGACGATGCAAGCCCTGGTGGCCGGCGGTTCATCAGCCTCCAGGCCGGGGGAACTGCCCCTCGAGGAGACGGAGCCATTGAGCAGCTTGACGTTCAGCTCATCCGAGTGATGGGTCTGCTGGGAGCTGCTCGACATGCGTCCGTCCAGCGAGAGATCGTCCCTGTGCTGATCCTGCAATAGAATCATTAGGGAGTGGGAGTCTCTGCCGGCAGTGGGGATGGCCATTTCACCCACCTCCTTGGGACTGGCACTGGGGCTGAACTTGATGTCCAGGCAGTTGGCCTCCATGTCGCTGGCAGTTCCATTCTCAGCCGATGCCGATGAGCCAGAAGATGCCATAATGCTACCCGTTCCCGAGGGCGACATGTGGCCATTGTTGTTGCTGGCCTCCGTGTTGTTGTTGCTAATTTTATTATTGTTATTGGGCTCCTTGTTAAGTGTTGATGAGGCCGGTTGCATCTGTGGCATCTGCTGCTTTGTGGCAGCCTCATCAGCGATTGCATGTCCATTCTCCACGGCTGCAGTTGCAATATTATTGTTGGTGCTGATGATGGGGGTGGCTGAGTTGCCCTCATCATCGCCCAGCTCGTAAATGTTAACCATGTGGGCGGCCTGTGCGTGGACCATCAAATCCCAAGGATTGGCGAACGCATCCTTGCAAACGGCGCACAGCAATTTGGCGCTCGTCGGCGGAGTCTCTGTGCATATTCGGGGTGAAACATGCGAGAATTAATTAGTTATTTAAGTTGGAATTTGCAGAAGGACAGGCAGACAGATCGGAGGCCCTGGCGCATAAATAACTCAATTTTAAATGCATTTGCTAGCAGCCGCAGGACATGAATATCCTGCCTCTCGGCCAGCAGATGTTGCTGACTGGCAAACAACTTCGCCAACAACGAGCCTTAGACAAACACTTTTGGCCGGGGCAAGGGCAAAAAGTGTTTAACAATCATAAATTAATTGCCAACAGACAAGCTGCCATACCCCCTTTTTCACCCCAAAAAGGCGGCCCGCCCACTTACTTGCACTTGCCGCAAAGGCAACATCCTGGCACTTGCATGTGAACCTCAGCTTGCAATAACTTTTCTTGTGGTCCAATAACTCAGACAGCTCGCCAAAGGATTCCCGGCAATTGCCGCAGATTAATGTGTCCGGATTGCCTGCAAGTATGCAAAGGAATTGGTCTTGAAAATGGGTGTAGCCTATGTAAGAACTTCGAAAATGCAGTCTGAGCATGAGAAGTTTATCTTCGTTATCAACTTTTAGATTAAAAAAAAAAATTGGAAAAGGTATTCGAACTTTAATACGCTTTCAAAGAAAGTATCTTAACTATATTTAAACATAATTGTTAGTAAATAAAACGCAAAAAACTTCCATGATATTCATAATCCTAATATTTTTAAAGCCGATGGTGTTGAAAAAATACTTATATAAAAAAATTAAAGATAAAATAAAACTATATAATAAATCCAAACCTTTTAGTATTTATTTTTTAACCCTTTTGGCATGTATTTTTAAAATCTATTTAAGCTAAATCTTTACAAAATATATTTGTTCTCAAGTCAGTGTAAACGCTCTACCAATTTCGACCGTATGCTAATGGGCCAGATTTTAAGCTCAGCTTGAAGTAGCTGCTTTTTGTCCAAGATCTTCTCTTTCTTTCTTTTCGTACGACTCTGTATCTGCAATTCTTGATTCCTTAACAAGGAAAAGGGTTTTGGATAAGGGGCTATACTCTGAGCTATTTTTCTGCGATATCTCAGTAAGTTGGTAATAGCATTGATACGTAAATCTGGCTTAATGACATGTCGACCACTTCGAGGTAGCTGTTGCAGAGACTTAGCCTGATTGGCATTGTCATTCTGGATATTCAGCGAAAAGCTAATGACATTTGGAGCCTCTGCAATGCCTTGATTCCTAGTTTTAGTGCAACAGGGCAGTTTTCTGGTAGTTGCTTTGGTAGTACGCGTCGTCTGGGGTTGATGGGTGGTGGTCTTGACGATACTTGGCTTGGTGGCCTTTGTTTTGGCTGCCACTGGAGGTTTCGGCTGTGCTGTAGTGGTGGTGGTCTCTTCCGGCTCCTTGTTCTTCACATCCACCGAAACCGAATCTTCCTCCTCATTTTTATTTGGCTCCTTTGTGGTATCACCGCAATCGGTAGTCGACTCAACATCGCATATTCCCAGTCCTTTTCCCTCATTTTGATCCATCTGAGTGCCACAGTTCATGGCCTCCTGCTGTTGCACATGTTGCACCTGTTGTTGGCCCTGCTGCCGTTGGCCAAAAAACTCGGACAACTGTTGCAGCAACTCCAATTGTTCGGCAGTTGGCGGCGGATCCTGTGACTCCTGCTTTTTGGGCAGCGGCACAAAGGGCGGCTGGAAGAGATGGGCGGCCGGGAACTCCTGGTTGTATCTACTCATCTTGACCGGCGGCATCTGGGAGTGAAGAAGGGGTCGGTGAGCTAGCGCAGATGGCCTCAGATTGGCAACGGGCTCAACCTGAATCTCCTGATGAACCGGCTGCTGGTTCTGCGGACTCTGTGGCTGCTGCACATCCAACTGAGGTGTGTACCTCATACCGGGTCTGATTCCGGCAACGGGAACGCCGTTCTCCACCTGCTGCTGATTAGAGCCGTAACCCAAGGCCGGCTTACTGGACAGCAGACTGCTCTTCAGGCTGAGCACTCCCTTCACGTAACTCGGCGGCAGGCGCTGCTGCGGAGTGGACTCATCCAGGGGCAAGGACATCACCGGCTGCTGACCCTGGACTAAGCCCATTATAGTCGCAATGACCGAGAGAAATGCCATGAAAGCTGGTCCACGCACTTCACATCGACACATTTCTCATTTTCAAAAACTTTATTTTGGCACTTCAAATCAAGGAAAACTAGATCGATGGACGGAAACTAGCTTAAGCAGAAACCCTTTTGGCAGTTTTCTAAGCTAAAGTATTTAATATATTAATGTAGATTTTATTTCAAAACGACTACTTACTAGTAACCTCTTCAAAAAAAGTACTAACTCAATCTCTGTCTGAAGAATTCGCGTTCTATTTTTAATTCTATTATAATAAAAAAAAAAAACAATTTATAAACCGTGAATTCATTAAATAGTTGGTTTATGGGCCTACAAAAATAAAGACTATTTTTAAACTAAATCCAATTAAAAATAAAATATTATACAAGTAAATACAAGTTTTAACACGTATATCATTCCATTTCTCTTAAAAATTTCACCCTTAGATGTTGAGGTAAAATCGCATTCAACTGTTTTTTAAAAGCTCACTGCAAATTCCTTTGGTAATCCCCAAGATGAAACCACAGACAATCATCAAAATATACTTTTCCGGCTTTATCCCTCAATTTCCCAGCATCCTCCCGAGCAAACTCGAGTCAATACTCACTGTAGACTTTGAATGGTCCCCATTGCTGATGCAAACTTAATTGCTCCTGAGCATGTTGCTGCTGTTGTAGCTGCTGCTGTTGCTGTTGTTGCTGCTGCTGTTGCTGCTGCTGCTGCTGTTGATGTTGCTGCATCAATTGGCTGTGCAATTGTAGTGGCGTTGCCGCCTGATGGGGCTGCGGTTGCTGTGGGGACAATGCCAGAGTCAACGGCTGCAGCAACGGTTGCTGATGTTGCTGTTGCTGATGTTGCTGCTGCTGCTGCTGATGTTGCTGATGGGTGGCGAAGGCGGCGGCGGCGGCGGCAGCTCCAACCGGATATGGCTCGCCGAGCGCCGTTTGATTAGCAATTATTGCAGACTTTGCATTTTGCGGCGATGTCGTCGCCTGGACAGCAGCCGCGCTGCTCTTCAGCTGGAATCCGAACGGCTGCTGGTGGTGCGGGTGGTGCGGATGCGGATGTGGGTGGTGCTGCTGCTCCTGTTTGTATTGCGACCAGTGGAGGGAACCGGGTGCCGCCGCTGCCGTTGTGGCCACCGCCGCATTCGACAGCAGGTTCTGCTGATGCAGCAGCAACTGCTGTTGCGGCAACAAATTGGCCATGGCCGCCATGGCAACGGCGGCCACCTGCTGCTGATGCTGCTGCTGCTGTTGCTGGTGGTGTTGCTGCTGCTGGTGCTGCACCTGCTGCTGCTGCTGATGGACGGCGGCTGCCGCAGCTGCAGCGGCCACCGCGGCCGCACTGTGATGGTGCTGTCCGTGCTGCTGTTGTTGCTGCTGCACGGCCACGGACAGGCCGCCGCCATTGGTCATGAGGCGCTTCCGCTTCTTGGCCCGCACCCCGTTCGAACCGCCCCCGCCAACTCCCCCGCCGCCCCGCAAAAGCGCTGAGGAACAGTAGCTGTCGTAGAAGTAGTCCCTGTATAAAGAAAAAATATAAATAAATATTTAATAAATTTAATTAAACGTCGTTCTATCTATAGTATAAACCCATTTAAAGCCAGAGAGTTGTGGCTCTTAAAAAATATATATATTATTATCTTGCCAGTTTCTCTAAACAGAAACAATTTGTTCAATTTTTTTTTCAACGGCATACTATCTATTATATAGTGTATAAAGCCATGTCGTTGATATAACTATTTGAAATATTATTTTACTTAAACTAACAAACGTTTCTATATGATTTTTCTATAGCTGTGATGAGATCACAGTGCCCTAAAATGGGTTAATTATTTCTTAATGTTATATAAAAACGTCTTTTATGTTTTATTTTTTGATGTACTAATTCTTGCGTTTACTTATGTTCGTTAATAATCAATTTGTTTTATCGGTGTATTAAGAACACAAAAAGCTAGTTAGAGGTTTTTATCCGGTCAATAAATAGTTGCCCGCTAATTGAAGTGTCATCAGCGTCTGGCTCCCAAAAGTATGTTGCTAACAAAACTAAAGTACAGAAACCATTTTTTTGGCAAGCGTTTCGAATTTGCAATACCCTGGACAAATAAAAATAATAAAAAGTTCCTATAAATAGAAAAAATATTCTCAACCTTAGATATCATTGGATACCATTTAATATATATAGTAAAATTTATATTTATCATTGTGATAAGCTTTTTACTTTAATAACTTTTCTTATAGGTATAAATTTCTTTCCTAACTCTTCCTCCTTCATAAGACTCTCCCCGGAATCCGAATACCCTCTCATTAACTTGAAATGAACAGCCTGCCAACTGTTGCCCCACCGCACTGTCAGTCCGTCACTTCAATTCCTCAACCCTCCCGTCAGTCCGTCAATATTTGTTTAGGCTGCCATTGCCGCCGCTTGAATTGTCATTTGGCAATTGTGTTTGTGTGCTGGCCCTCCCGTTGGGTTATGTTGCCAGTGATTGACACAAATGCCGGAACAGGACGAAAGTCCTCCCCCCCCCCCTTCCGATAAAACCAACCAATTGTGGTCAAATGAGGGGGGGAGGGGGCGATCCTGGCAAAGGAGGCGGGGCTCAACAATTGCGGCTTTTTCGGTCAGTTTGTGTGTGGTCAAATAGTGCGGGGAAAAGGTGAGCAGCCGTTTAATGACAAACACGAGAGCACCTGGATATATGGGTTCCCATAGAGGGGGTCCTGACATGTTTGCGTTTTAATTACAATCAAGTCGCTGTCAGTTGGGTTTCCCGCCCAAACTCCAGCTCGATGTCCCTTTTAAAGCCAAAAGCAAACGCATTTCGTTTCGGCGTCATTAAGCTTAAATTAAATATTTCCACACGAGTGCCGGGGTTCAGCGGAATACGGGATCTGGAGCTCAAGGCCCAAATAAATTGTGAATGTCGCTCAGTCATCATTAAGGCCACGGCGCCACGGCAAAGACAAACAAGTGCACATGTCAGGGCCAGGACATTATGGCATACATTGCAACTGTCACTCACAGGATTCACGGGATTCACGGGATACGGATACATTCACATATACCATATATATATATATATGGAGTGTGTTGACGCAGCCCTCGAACACCAAAACTGACCCTCACAGGCGAAAAGTAAATGGAGAAATGGAGACGAGAACTTGGCCTGAAGTGTTCCGGTTGGGTGCAAAAAACCCGGCTAGCCGTTGACAGCCAAATATTTTATGCCGGACGGGGCGTTGAAACAAAGGGCGACCCCATCGCCTGATGAATGGTTCCTTATTTATTTATTTGTTTGTTGTGCGGTATCCAGAAAGTCCCCGAAAAACCCCAGTCCGTTAAATGATATGTAAATATAAAGTCTAAGCGAATGCCACATGGCGGCGTTAAATTGAGCAAAGTTAATTTTTTAGATTAAATTGAAATGAGGCAAATATTGTCTGGAATTCCGGGGGGTGAAGTCCTTGGTAATCCTGCGTTGAACTTACCAATCGTTTCCGGTCTTGCTCACATTCTGGCGTTTCCTTCCGATCTGATGCGCTTTCGGTTCGGCCACCATGTTGACATCTGCAAAATAGAATTGGGAATGGAAATTTTCTTAATGACAAAAGGCAATCTGCTTTATGCTCCAAAAATATAAATATACACAAAAATTCTGGGTCCTTTGAAGTCATTGTCTAAGCAGTAAACAAAAAGCTGGGTAGAGCACAAAGGCGGTTCTTTATTATTCTACTCCTTTCATTAGGCAAATGAATAGAAAAGCTGTGAGTGATTAAAAATGTTTTTTTTTTCTTCTATATGCTTGTCCATTGGCCAACTGCATTCCTTGGTTAATTCAATCTCGCTGCAACCCAATCATTAATCTTAATAAAAGTGCTCTAAAGTCGGAATATACATTGTCAGTTCTGGTATATGTATAAAAACAATGATGCCCACGCTATAGTAACAGATAGTCGATGGGGAAATGCTCTTCAAAATATGAATATCTATAATATTGAAGAGTTCCTAAAACAACTCAAGAAAATTGTTGGAGTATATTTTAATAACAATAACTATTCCAAATATATCTATTTTAGAATTTTCTCATAATATGAACATCTATAATGTTGAAGAGTTCTAAAAACTACTCGAGACAAATGTGGAATTTATTTTTTAATAGCACATGTATATATTTTAGGAATACCTTTGAGTGGCCTCAATAGCCCCAATAAGAGTACAGAAATATTTTAATAAACGTTAACCGCATTTGATTTTCAATGAAAAGGGTGCGACAGAGGCTGTTTTCTATATGGAAAGCCAGGACTTAGAGAAGGGAAACCCATTCGCAGCCCACGCTCATTCATCATAATTCATGACAAAGTTTGAAGTGCGACGGCTGCGCCTCCAATCCCTTAAAAAAAATGAGAAGGAAAATTCACAGAAACCAATAGCTATCTACAAATTGGTGGGATTGGTTTAAAAAAAAAAAATACTACAAGAAAAGCGGGCGTGATGGCTTTCTTTTTTCAGCTGCTCTATTTTCTCCTTGGCTTTTTTGTTATTTTTGCTTCCTTTTCCTGCCTCACTGTCCGACTGTTGGGCTGGCAGGCTATAATTAAGATTAAGGATAAAAGCGTAAGAAGGATTTGCACAAGTTTCAGCCAGCCAGTCAGCCAACCAACCCCCCTTTTTCCCTTAGTGTAAATCGCTTTAGTTGGCCTGGCCGCATTTCCCGGCGCTTCAAAGTCAATGGCGCGTAGCAATGAAATATTACGCCGGCCACTTTGTTGTTGGTTCTTCTTTTCCTAATCAGTGGAATTAGCATTCCACATTTAGCAATTCGCATTTGCATAAGCGGTAGTATTTTTTATGAGAGCTGCGCTGAGCAATTTCCATTTCACTCGCCGGCGAACGGGGCGTATGAATATGAAGCATCCGCAGCGTTGCCGCCAGCAGAAGCAGAAGCATCATCATCAGCTGACACAGAACACTAAGTGCATTAACTTGTTCTCCACACGAGACACGCACTGGAGAAAATAAAAAAAGGGGAAAGCAGGGAAAGCTGGGAAAGCTGGGAAGAGAAGACTCGCAGAACCGTCAACATGGCAGCTGCAACTGGCGTTGAATTATTTCATTAAACGCCAAACGACTAGACTGTCAGATAGTCAGATAGTCAGGGGGGGAAAAAGGCAGATACAAAAGACAGTCGACTGTCTGGCGCAACATTGAAATTTCATTAAAAGTATCGTGCCAAGATTTATGTCGGCCGCACTTTAAGTTTTTGCGGCCGGCAGCGACTTCCGCCCGTCGAAATACTCAGACATTAGTGTGCGAGGGGTGCCTAGAGATATGGCCACTACACATGCCAGGATCGTCGGGGCTCCTTCATTACTATGGGCCAACTATGTAAGCCATAAGCCAGGACAAACCATCCCATCCGCACCGCCGCCTTCTTTTGCCTTCGCGGCGCCTTTGTGGCTTTTTTCGCGCGTTTGTTCGATTTTAGTGCAACGCTTCCGCTGCCGGCGGCCATTAACCTGACGGATCCCCCCTATCCCTATACCAAAAACCCCTTTCAGAAGACCCACCTAACTGGCGATATCCCACGGACATGCAACTTTGGCCCAGGCGAGGACGAGGGTTAAGGTCTGGAATGTCTATGCAAAGCAGCAGCCTTCGTTAGCGGGGATTTCTGGGCACACGGCAGTTGCACTGATTTAAGAAAGCCTTGTGCCGTCTTTTTACACATATAGTGTGCACTTTAAGGGCAAACAAGTCAGATAAATGAAGAAAACGATTTTTGTTTTAATTTGAAAGAAAACAATTTCAACAACTAAAATATCCTTCAGTATAAGATAAAAGAATTTTTAATATACGGCTTAAAATGTTGAGTTCAATTATAAAACTTTGATTCGTTAACGATTAAATTTTTATAAGGTCTCTTTTTTCCAATATATGTTATTTGGCAACAATTGGAAAAAATTTAATTCTTTTAGAAACATTGAACATTTTTTTAAATGGTTCAATTAATAAGGGTTTTGAATCATTTGCAGCTAGCTCTTTAATCAAAAAGTGATATTTATAAATTAAAATATTTTCAGTACAGTCTCCGAAACGGTTTATGACTTTAATTGTTATCGATCGATAATAGTAAGATATTCGAATTCGATTATTATCGATCGATCTTATTAAGATAATCGATTATTTTTTGCATATCTTTATAAGTGAAAACCAGATTTTGATTAAAATATGTAACAACTTGCTTTGCATAAAAAGAAATTCAAGACGTAAGTATTTTATAAAATATCAATATCTAATTGATATTAGCTATGCTTTCAAAAATCGTAAAAAATGTTGCTCAATTTTCAACTGAAATTAGTTTTTTGTTTAAGACAAACTTTAATTCAGATACTAAAAAAATAACATAGGTTTTCAATGTATCCTAAAATTATTAACAGTCGTAGTTGTCACTCCTTACAAGCTTAAAACAAAAGCAAAATATTGAGAAACAGGTGTTAGTAAAGGATTCCCAGGACATGCAGGACACGCAGCTTGCAGGATCAAAGATATAAATCCTTACCTAATGTCTGGCTGAGGACCGTCTTGCCATCCTCGCCGTGGCAGGCGTTCCGGGCATCGAACGGGTTGGTGAACTGCACAAAGGCATAGCCCTTATGCATGGATATGCCTGCGGGATATACGCATTGATTCAGATGTTGGGGGCCAAGGATGACAAGGACTTACCCGCGAGGCGGCCGTAGATCTGAAACATGCGCTCCACGTCCGTTTTGGAGCACTGGAAGGTATTCAGATTGCCCACGAAGATGCGCGAGTTGACCGCCTGCGGATCCTGCGAGTTGGTCTGGTTGGACAGCTTGGACAGCTTCATGGTGGCTGTCGAGGACCCGAACCCGGACCCAGAACCTAGCCCCACTGGCGACGTCACAGGTCCTGCCAAGGACACGGGCGCAGCCGCGGCGCACGTGTGTCCGAAATACAAGAACGCAATCCTGGCGGAAACCCTTCTGTTGTCCTCGTTTTCGATGCTGCTTTTAATTTTTTGTTGATGGTTTTTCTTTTTTTGACTGTGGCTTAGACGAGGCTTTTGTCGGCGGCTTATTGGATTTGCAGTCGGATTGTTTTCCCCTTCCCAGCAAATATTTCACTTTTTAACGAATCCAAATATGTGAGCCGCTGCAGATTGTCCGGTATCGTTGGAAAATCTGCAAAATAAGAGGAATACGCATGGTACAATAAATAAAAATCACAACCGCTTTTGTTTCTTTTTGTTTGTTTGTCGTCGGGCTTAAAAATCAAATGGATATCAACGGTCGTATGTGTGTTTCATTTATTTTGTGGGTAGGGATTTTGCGTTTTCGCGTTGTTTTTGGGGGTGTTTTTATCTTAGCGCCAGGCAATTAAAATGCAAAAATGCCTTTTTAATTGAAAAAAAAATTCTTTCATCGGTTAATACTTTAATCTGGTTTAAGAAAGGTTGGTTAACCAAAGCAAAGGATTGGTTCCGTTTTTTATTTGAATACATTTTTTTTTAAATATAAAATACGTCGAGGGACGAGGAAAATTCGGAATCTCTTTATTCCCGATTTTTAAAAAGGCTTAAAAAATATTATTAATAAATGTTATAACGGAAAAACCCTATTTATATAATCTCTGTAATTATTTTCTAATATTTTCTTAAGTTCTTTTATATTTGGGTGGTTATAAAGATATTTTTTTCATGATTATCTTTTTATATATATGTTCTTTTGCTTTTACTGGAAACATGTTTTCAGCTTGTTATTAAATTAAATAACTTTGAAATGGCTTACACACACAAGAACACACCCATTTTCACACCCATTATCCTTCCCTTGGAAAAAGGATAAAAAGAAGAGACAGCAACAACAAAGAAACTTTTCTCTCGCTCGTTGAAAAGTGAAAAATTAAGCGTTTTTATTGCGCTTTCGATGGCAACAGTGCAGTGCCTCCTTGTCTGACACTCCGCCCCTCTCACTCCCACTCACCAATACCAATGCCACCGCCATTGTGGCAACATGTGTGTTCAATGTGTGCGTGTGTGTGAGTGGCTCCTTTGCATAGTGTGCGTGTGAGGGGGTGTCAGAGTGGGGGTGCCAAAAGGGCATTAAAATGTACAAAAGACGTGCATGAAATAAAAATAAAACATGCAGCCATAAAAATAAAATACTCGTGTACTAGCAAATTGTTAATGTGATTTTTATGCAATCCCCAGCCCTCAAGAATTTATTGCGGATTTATGGGCGCGCCAGTTGGTGTTAATTGTGAAAGCTTTTGGCGCTTAAACTTGAATCTAATATGGGGAGAAGTACATGATAGGGAGAAAAAATAGTAGAATAAACAAGGGTTTCAAGTAAATAATATAACTATAAAGTTAAAACCTTCTAAATATTTCATTGATATGCTGAATAAATAGTATAATAAATTTTAGCCCATTTTCATGTTATATTTTTCCGTAACTCCAATGGTTTCCAGAATGGGACCCCAAAACTGCACTTTTAGATTCCATAACTTTAGTAATTTTATTCCGATTTTAAAGTTTGATACCTCTATGAGTTTGTGGTTGAATTCTCTTACATCCTGCATTTAAATTCCTTTTTTTAAAGAGGGTAAAAATTTTAGCCCATTTTCATGTTCGATTTTTCCGTATTTCCAATCGCTTTCAGAATGGGACCCCAAAACTGCACTTCTAGATTCCATAACTTCAGGTAATTTTATTCCGATTTTTAAGTTTGATTCCTCTATGAGTTTGTGGTTGAATTCTCTAGCATTCCACAATTAAATATTCCTTTTGAAAGAGGGTCTAAATTTTAGCCCATTTTCATGTTCGATTTTTCCGTAATTCCAATGGCTTTCAGAATAGGAGCCCAAAACTGCACTTCTAGATTCCATAACTTTAGTAATTTTACTCAGATTTTGAAGTGTGATACCTCTATGTGTTTCTCTAAAATTCTACATTTGAATATTCCTTTTAAAGGAGGGTACAAATTTTAGCCCATTTTTAGGTTCGATTTTTCCGTGTTTAATAAATAATAAATAAATAATAAAATAGAATTCAAAAGTTTAAACACTCTACAAATTATATTGGATTATATTATATGTATATTACAAATATATGTTGGAAATTTATCAAGTTAAAAGCATGAAACATCATTAACTGTTTTATATTTTAATATCCGACAGTCCCAATAGAATTATCTAATAGTTCTGCAAGTCCCTATATTTTAGTCTCACTTTAGTATTTAGAAATGAAGACATTCACATTCATCGGAAGTCTATTACATCGCCGTCAGCTACACAAAGTTGGTAAATATTCATTGATCGGTATCTACAGCTTTTCCCATCAGTTTTATTAAAAGCGTTTTCGCATTGTTTGGCATAAATCAAACGGAGGAACCAGAAAAGGAGTAACAAGGAGCTGGGATATTCATGGCTTTGGCTGCATTGTGCGCCAGTTATGAGTGAAAGGCTCTTTATTTATTATAATGGCATTCCTGCCTGCCAGTCTCCTGTCTGGTTTTCATCCATTCATTCACCCATTCAGGCATTCATTCACTCATCCAACGGTTTCTATTTTTGTGTCGCATTGTCCTTGCAAATGAAGGAACAACGCCGATGGCAAAATCACAGTGAACAAAACGGGCAGATGTTCCGAGTTGATAAGTTTGGATTGAAATAAACAACTCCCTTTTCACTTGACTTAAGAACATTTGAATTCCAGGCGATTAACAGATAAGAATTGCAGATATATTTAGTATAACTCTACCCACTACATTATCATTAAAACAATTTTTTAAAATTATTTTTAAACTTTCGAGTAATACATTTAGGAAATTTATTTAACTATACGATTGTATTACAATGATTTTCCTCTGTGCATGACATAAGAGCTTCCTTGAAGTCTGATGTTCGTCATTGTGAAAATCCTACAACAATAGCAACAACAACAGGGAGTGGAAAACCCTATTCCTGCTGAAGTCATATTGAATATGCAACAGTTTTGGTGGCCTACATTTCGGGGCTGTCGGCATTTTAATGAACGCAACTTTAATTAAGACAACAAAACCCGTTGGTGACACATATTTAAGGTGTCTGTGCTTAATCCTGTGGACTTGAACGTGTGGTAGCAGAGTTTCTCCAGTGCCAGCACAAGTGGTTAGTTAACTTGGCTTAATTATAATTAACTGCACTACGGAGCAAGTCGACAGCCCAAGTTCAACCGCTAGAAAATGTGCAGGAAATTGCCGTAGTTCTCTTGTTTCACTCCTTTTTCCATGCCCCTCTGGAGTCCTGGTAGTTTTTTTTTTTAGGCCCAGGACAAAGGCTGCCACCGTTTGCACTTTTATTTTCCAGACGCCTGAGCGCAAAAGTAAATTAAGACGCTTCGTGGCAAGTGAGTAAGTAAAAGGCGTCGCAGGCTAAACTTCAGGATGCCAACATGGGAGCCTCCTTGTGGGGAAACATGTGAACTGAACTTTGTAATTGAGTGCGGAAAAAGCACACAAACAGGATTTGAAGTACGAAGAAGTAGAAGATGTAATGCTCTTAAAAAGAGATTTGACCAATAACGGAAATAGTAACATTTTAAAAAGGCATATATTATGCAAACATATATCACCATGTATTCTTAAGATCCTTTAGGGTACTTACAAATTTTTTAAACAATTTAATTTGGGATCCTAGGATGAGTAGATGATGTAATGCTCTTAAAAAATCTTCAACCATTAATAGAAATATTTACATTTTACAAGGATACATATAATAAGCAAACATTAAGTACCAGATATTATTAAGATCTTTAAGGATGCCTTTAATAAATCACCAGTATATTGGCCTTCTTAGTATTATTAATATCTTTTTAAGCTCCACAGGGAGCTCTAATATTTGTATCATTTTTCTTGGCCCAGTTAATGGACTCCTCCAGAAAGTGTTTAATTACTTTTGCTGCATCCGCTCAGGATTGGGATGCCTAATGCCCCGCATTGTCTACGGCTTAAAGTCAACGACTCTGTGGACTACATTTCGCAGCTCCTTTTCCAAGAATTTTACTCTACCATTTTTTATTCGCCCACAGTTCGTGTTAAAGCGTTTTGATGGGACCTCGACGTGCCATAAATAATGCAGCAAGCCATTAAGCTGGCGGAGTTGTTGAAGAGCCAACGAGGCGATGCTGCCAGGATTATCGGAGGCGAGCGATCAAATGTCAAAGGACACATTTCGTCACCACGCCTGTTGCTATTTACTGCCTACCTCGTCGCATCATCTTGTGTTTTCTTTTTCCATCTCTACATATGTTTATATGGCAGACAACTTTTCATTTCAAATTGCTCGGGGCGAAGGGGTGGTGTTGGTGATGGCAACCCTAATAGCGCAGCACAAAAAATGAATAGACGTCGTGGCCCATTGAAAGCCAAAAAGTCAACAAAAGGGGCCTCAACCACCCACCGATTCGGGGCCAGATAGAGCGACAAATAACCCCAATTGAAAGGGGATGGGTGGGCCGAAACGGCGGAGGAGGAATGATGATGATGCCATGTGTGTATTGACAAGCCAGCAAACAACTTTATTCATAAGCAGTCAAACAGGACGAAGTCGGTCCAGGACATGGCAGACCGGGCCACAAGGACCCGCAGACGTGACCCCGGTCGAGCCAAGCCGAATCCGATCCAAAAAGCAGGCAATGCATATGCATGCACTGCGAGAAATTATAAAACTGAAACTGATATTAGAAAATTTTAAAAGTTATCATTTATTTTTAAGATTTTAGTACTGTTATATGATACAAATAATTTAAAATACACAGAGAGAGTTCTAACCCAATTCTAAGTTGAAGCTGAAAATGTTTTTATTCTGCTTAAATCAAGATGAATAGGCGGTATTTACATTGTACATATATCTCAACTTCTAAAATATTAGTCCAGTCAGTACTGTATTATTATTGAAAAGTTGTTAAATAAACTCAATTTAACTTTTATCTTCTCACCATTACGTTCTAATACTGAGATATTTGATACCAAAATGTACTTTCACGGATTTTAAGAAAGAATGTTCTCAAATCAAGAACAGTATACTTTAATATATTTCTCTGTGTAGAAGCCTAGACATTTATTATACTTATTGTGAACTTTACTTTTCAATTACTTTATCATTAAAATCACTTTTTATTCAAACTTTCCTATGAATTAAAATTAATTTCTATAATTTTTTAACCCTTATTCCAATATTACATTGTAAGCAGAATATGACTAGTAACATTTTTCAAATATTACATGGTATTATTTCTGTTGAGATACTTATCAATAATTTTTTCTCAGTGCATCAGCATGTGCCCAGAGATGACTTCACGTCTGCTGGCGATAACTCTGCCGAGTTTATGGAACTCTGACCAGACCAGACTCGAACTAGCCCAACTTTCGGGACATCCATGGCTTGAAATTCATACTTCGAACATGCTGAAACATTCCGCAAAATAACTCAAAATTGCCGATAAGCTGAGAACGTGTCGCCACCCGATCATTGTTTGCTTTTTGTTTGCTGTTAATTTATCGTAATGCACAAAGCAATTTGCTAAAGAGTGAGTGAAAAACTGAAACAAATATTTAAATATATTTGCTGGCGTATTAAGTGCCAACTATTTGCATAAATAACAAGAAATTAATAACAAACACACGGCGCCATGGCAGCAGCCGCACAAAAGTTAATAATTGCTGCATGTCAACAGGCTGTGGAAATGGTTGGAAAATGCTACTGACATGTGGACCACATATAAATGAAAAATATGCCAGGCGGCGGGGGAAAAAAGAAAACACGGTGCTTCGAGGCTGGAATACCATTTTATCACTTGACAGTAAATGCGTTTTATTGCGCTGCTCATTAAACAAATTAAATTTGCAAACGAATAAAGCGAAATGGGGAAATCGGAAAAGTATTTAAACAATTAAATCGCCAAGGATTTCACACTTTAAAACAACGAGATACCAATTTTGCGGGTACTCACATGTTGAACATGACAAAATAAAATATAAATTAATGACAGATATAAAAATTTTGATATAAAAATAAGTGGAAGATAATAAAGAAATGGTTATTATTATTATTTATAGACATATTCCTTTTTATGTAATATATATTTGTCCGGTTCTAATTAATTCAATTCATAATATAAAAATCTTGAAAAATTACTAAAAAAAATATACCCATATTAAAAGAGAATATGGAAAAAAATGGGAAACACCTGATCAAAAAAAAAATACCCCCTGCAAGGGTAGAAAAGCTCTATTCAGAATAAACCGTAAAAGTTGTCATTGGTCACATGGAATTTTCCATTTAAATTGCTTCGTTACACCCATGGTTAGCTTATAAAAGCAAGTAACATCATTTCATAGACTTTACTCAAAGTTATAGGTCCAAACTTATACTAACGATGAAGCTCGTTGTGACACTGCTAGTTCTAACGTTTCTTATTTCGGCCAGTGCAAAAAAGAAAGTGCGTGCCAGGATCGCCGGAGGCTATAGAGTCCAGCCTTATACGATGACATACCTCGTTGGAATTCTCTTCGCCAAATCGCACCAGTCCAAGATTGAGTTAGGGGCCGGCACAATAATATCGAACCAATGGGTCATCACAGTCAGGGATGTCCTGATCTATGAGTTTATCGAGGTACACTTCGGCTCAAGGAGACCGTGGTGGGGCTATCGCCGTAAAAGGGTCTACAGTCAAAACTTCTACTTACACTATGATAAAAATCGCACACTTGCCTTGGTAAAGGTACCGTACCAGAAATTCGACGAACGTCTAGACAGAGTACGTATTCCACCATATAAAGATTGGCGCAATCGCTATTTGGGATATAGGACCGCAATATGCGGTTGGGGAAATGGAAAAGTTGGAGACAAGGCACCCGATTGGCTGCGCTGCGCTGTAGTAGCGCCCATTTCCAACAAGGAGTGCGCCAAGTATTATCCCCCATTGCAATATTATGAAATGTGCACATCCGGAGTTGACAACAAAGGTGTTTGCGAGGGCGACGTTGGCGGTTCTGTGGTTTCTTTAGTGGGTAAAATGACACTGATTGGCGTTATAAATCTTAGACCCGACAACTGCAGTGGGGGCTGGCCATCGATACACATACGGATCAGTGATCACTTATTGTGGATAAAGTCAGTCTCTGGAGTATCTTACTGTGAGTTTGCTACCTATTAATTATTTGACTACTAAAGAAGTATAACTTTTTATATTAATTATTTTCAGGATAAGCAAAGTCATGGTCATACATTACTAAACACAATAATATTGGACAGATATATTATTGTGCAATCCTGAAACTGGTTTTCAAGTAGTAATCAAAAAACATCCACCAACGATTATATTTAAGTAGCTTAATAGCATTAAAACAATGATTGTAGCTTTATAAATAAATAAAACCATTTTATCAACATTATATTAATTACATTGTTTTCCGCTATAGTTTTACAGTTTGAGATTAACTCAACGCCCTAATAAATCCACCTCAAAAGTGTGCTACACAATTTAAACTTACACCACTCTAGCATAATTTGTTTCGTTTGTAATGTTATAATTTAATGCGATTTAGGGATATTATATAGCCGCTCCTCGCACGACCGTTAAAGTGTTAAATTTATTGTTATTGTAGCCTCTGTTCGCAGTGGCAGTTGCAGTTTCAGTATTTGTTTTATTTCGCTCTTTTCGGTTCAGGCTGCGGTTCTTTAGCGCGCATTCATTCATTATCGCCAGTCCCTATATGTAGAATGTACAATGTGTGTACATATATCTGTTGTGCGGTCCGTCTGGTGTGGCAATAAAAATGGCTTGAATATTTTTCAGTTTGTTATGCATTTTCCTGCCACTTGGGCAGCAACAACAATTATGAATAACTCGCTGCATAATGGCCTGCAAGCTGTTCCTATGGAATTCCTGGATCGATTACTGGGGGGTGGTTGTTCGGGTACATACACGTATATATATCACTCCGCCAATTATAAAGCAAGGGGAACTGAACAGGCAACTGGCAGTCCCGGCGACAGTAATCAAATAATTGTTGCACTCGCTGTCATACGTATCGCTCTTTGGCTTTAATTATTTGCACAGTTTTCCACTCTGTAATGGACACGTCGTAATAAGGATATGCGGATAAAGCTGAATAAGCCTGAATATGCCAACGTTTATCGTTAAATTTTCATGCAGCCCAATTAATTCTTACTCTTACTTTTGCAAATCGTTTATTTCAGTCATTTATCACCATAACAGCTATCTGAAATGGTTTTTCCAAATTACTTTTAAAAAGTTATAATAATTCCTTGAAATTTGGAACATTAGGGCCTTTTTTTACTACATCAAGACATCTATATACATCTATACAACTATAAGACCTTAATTTATTTATTTAATCTAGAGGGCTATTCCAATAGTATTTCGATTTTCCAAAACTAAGTAACCCATGTTTTACTTCCGAGTTATGTCGTTAAAGTTTGTCTATCAAATCCTTCAGTTACTACACTGATTCGTAGAAGTAAACACACATCGGGAGCGCTAAAGAAAAGTTTTAGATAAAAAAGTGGACCATTTCAAAAATATTTCAAGTTTTCAGTTTTACAAATTGTTAAATTCGGCGTGTTATAAATTCATAAATTTGTAGGACTATATATTTGTTTTCCGCACAATACACAAAACCTCCACTGAGCTACACAGGCAAGCCAATCCTCCACAATTTGTAACTGTTTTATCAAGTGAACGTTACTATTCAAATAACTCTACTGATCACAATTTGTATTACGAAATTTAAAGTACTGATATTCTCACTACTTTCGGTTAAAATTGTGTCCATTTCTGGTTGAAAATGAAGGTCAAGAAATATTGCATGGGTTCAAAAGCGCCAGTGTTCGTCAGCCACGTGGCCCCGTATAACTTTCTGAGGGAGTACCGTCTATTATGCGAAGATACCGAAATACCCGCGGAGACCCTGATAGGAGAGGCCGTCCAGGCCTGGCAGGCGCTAAGTCTAGACGAGAGAAGTTTGTTCGAGGAGACCAAGTATTTGGCGGCCCGATTTTGCCAATCCAGCGAATCGGCTTTAAAATTAACTATTGATTTGCTGTCGGCCCAGCAAACCACTGTAAGACGGGTGCCAAGTTCTCAAAGTGATCGTAGTCTCCATACGATCTCTAAAAAATCGAAGAAGATCGGGGGCGGTAATACATTATCGAACAGGAAGAAAATCCAACAAAAAATGCGTGCGGCTAGCAAGATGGACGGATCAGTGTCTGAATGTTCATGGAGCGGGGCAAGCACCTCTAGGAAGTCCTCTTGAAAATGTTGTGGTTAAAAAAGATGACCCCGTTGCTAATGATTTTTAATATGACGATGGAAAGGAATGGAAAATATAATTATACTACAATATAAAAATGTGTTTTAATGTGGGCTTTCTGTAGACTAGGTTTATTTTAATTGAATTTTAGTTTCAGTAGTCTATATTAAAGAAAATATAACGTAAGTTTTATATTTACTCATTAATAGCTATACGTAAGAATTATTTATAGCGCTAGTCAGTCTCTATAAAAAAATGTTAACCCTATATATGATGAATCTCCACAAATTGTCTTTTCTTGTCTGTTAGGATTTGCTATATAATGGGTCGTTATATATATTCTCAGGTTTCTCTATCGAATGAGGTTAATTTAGCACCTCTATTATTAGTTGCGCTTATCGCATATCAACTCAATTGAACACGATTCTTTCAGTGAAAAGCTTCCGATTGTCAAATCACTTAAATTCAACTGTAATTTAATAATTAATTTGAAATCGTTGGCTATTCTGGTACTGCTCCCCTTTGCAATGCCTACATATATAGCTTTTTTATAACCCCTGATCCGCCGATAACCTTACGCCGCCCACCCACTTGGAATCGAAAACGAAATCGAATGATTCACCCACGCACAAACAGAAACAGAAACATTTATTCCACTTGAACGGACTTCATTGGCGATTTAATTGTTGCCGATTTTTTACAATAAATTCCATTAAAAACTTTTTGAAATGTATATTATTGAAATTCATATTCAAGCCTGGCTATTTGAATTGCTGAAGAGCAAATTTTGTGGCGCCTATTTAATTATCCAATTACAGCAGCAACAGCAGCAGTGCGAGAAATTAACTTAAATGCGAAAATATACGCCGGCGGCTCTTTAAACATTTCCATGTGAAAATCCTATGCAAAAAAAAGGGGGCGGGGAAGGGGGCGTAACAGGCGGAAGCCAAAACACAAATACAACATTTTTGGACTATCGCTTTTAGCTGAATGCGGATGCAGCGGATTCGATTTGGGTTCTGTTTTTGGTTTTCGGTTTTTACTGTCGATATTTGGCGCTGTTTGCCGTTGTTATTTGTTTGTTATTCCTTGGGCTTTGGTTTTTGCCAACACACGCATTTTTGTGGTCCATTAAAACAGTCAACGGCAGCAAATATCCCTTGCGAACGGTGGTTAGTGATAGAAAAAGTGATTTATTTATCATTCATAAAGTTTCATCAAAAATAGTGCTAATAAAAGTAGGAAAAACTGTTTAATTTAAAATATTATAATATAAATTAGAACTAAAAACACTGATTTCAAAAAATAAAAATAATTTTATTAGTTCAATATTCCTTGTCATATGTACCTACATTTCTAAAATGTTGATATATTTGGGAGGTTTTACTAAATTTTGTTGTATATTCCCAACCTACAATTGTGATACTTGAAAAAGATTTCAGCACCTAGAAAATATTTTTTAATAAATCTAAACATTAAATACAGCTTGATACAAAAATAATGACACAATATCACAATATTATTCTCCGATAAAAATGATAGATTATTTATATCTCGTTATCTTAAAGGCGTTATTATTTCTGGAGTGGCTCAAAGAATTTATTGTACCAAGATAAGCGGAAGAAAGTGAGTACCTAAGTTGGGTAATGGCACATCTCTGAAACTGGTCGCGTGGAAATTGGCTCAAAACAACGAGCGAAGGCAGGGAAATTCGTGGAAAATCGGCGAACAAATATAGAAAACTCTACAAAAAAGACCAAAGCAAGGTCAAGTGAAGAGAGTGCCTCCCCCTCCCACACTCTCTCTCTCTCTATCTATCTCTCTCTGTAATCTTTATGCTCTCCATGGACTGCCACGACTAACGTCACCACTGAGTGACTCACCTCACCTGTGACTAATTTAGTGGGAGGCCACTGTGTCGCTCACCCTCTCTTTCTCACTCTCTCTTTGTGTGGGAGAGCGTGTGCGCAAAGTACTTGGCTCAAGCGGCTGGCGCATGCGAGCGAGCGAGACAGCCGTACTGCGGGTGGCCCTCAAACAAGTTGAGAGAGCAAACTACAGTGAAAAAACAAGTAAAACAACTCCCAGCGAAGGCAGAAATTTTCTTCATTCGCCGCACAGATTTTACAGCGTTTGGGCGTGTTTTCTCCGTATCTGCCTTTGAAAATCCACATATGCGGGTCCAATTAATTCATAAAAAGCATACCGACAAACAGGAAGAACGCCGTCACAGTTCTGCATTCAATTAAGAAAATTGATGGAAAAACTCTCGTAATAAATCAAACTCCACTTCCAATTCGCATCTCTCTCTTTGTACGCGTGTGTGTGTGTGTATGGACAGCATTTGTATTAGTGCGTGAGCAAATTATTGTATAATCGCCAAAAAAATAAAAATAATAAAAGCAAGAACGCCAACGCGAGAACCAAAAGCTATACAATCAAAAAGAACTAGCTAAGCTACAAAATTTAGTAAAGAAAACAAAAATCAATGACTAAAATTTGTGTTGAACTCAGCAATTACGCCCAAAAACAACTACAACTACAAACAAAATAGTCATTTTGTTGGAAACCAAATTATTCTTCACTGGAAGCAGCTAAATTATCTTGATTACAAACAAAGAAAACTACCAAAAACCACTAAATATATCAATATAAAACACTAAAAACTGGCTGACCTACTGAATTTTATAATTACAAAGTCATTACAATTAACTACCTACGTATAAACCATAAAAACCAGTTGAGCTTCTGGAAATCTTGAAGAAAACCAGCTGATCTACTGAAAAAACATCTGCATAGATAAATACAAAGAAGTACGGAGCTAAGCTACTGAATTCATCGATTACCTTATCCAGCACTCTTGAGCTGAGCTACTGAACTCATCGATTACCCTATCCAAAACTCATCATGCAGGCCATCAAGTGTGTGGTTGTGGGCGACGGAGCGGTGGGTAAGACCTGCCTGCTGATCAGCTATACGACCAACGCCTTTCCCGGCGAGTATATACCCACCGTTTTCGACAACTATTCGGCCAATGTGATGGTGGATGCCAAGCCCATTAACCTGGGACTCTGGGATACGGCGGGTCAGGAGGACTACGATCGCTTGCGACCTCTATCCTATCCCCAGACGGATGTATTTCTCATCTGTTTCTCCCTGGTCAATCCGGCCTCCTTTGAGAATGTGCGGGCCAAGTGGTTCCCCGAGGTACGTCATCACTGCCCAAGTGTTCCGATAATCCTCGTTGGAACCAAACTGGATCTTCGCGATGACAAGCAGACTATCGAGAAACTGAAGGACAAGAAACTGACACCCATCACATATCCCCAGGGATTGGCGATGGCCAAGGAAATAGCTGCTGTCAAGTATCTGGAGTGTTCTGCTTTGACCCAAAAGGGTCTGAAGACGGTATTCGATGAGGCTATACGATCAGTTCTATGCCCCGTGGTTCGGGGTCCCAAGCGACACAAGTGCGAACTACTGTAAACTTTGAACCCACAAAAAAAAAAAAACAAAAAAACCCAGAAGAACATCAAAAACTGACGGAGAACAAAGCGCAGAATTCTGTGCGAAATTTTCATATTCATTCGCTTTGTTGGGTCTACAGTTACAGATAGTGTGCGTGTGTGTGTCTTTAGGGTGTGAGTGCAATGGCATGAGTGTGTGAATGAGTGAGCGTATTTTTGTTTATTGTCAGCTTTATGTGGGGGAGCAGCAGCCACAAAACAACAACAACAACAGCTATTTGAAAGGGGGCAGGGTTTAGTGGGGGTCTCCGGGGGGCAGATCACGGATAGAAAAATATACACATAAGCATATAAGTATGATACTGTGCGTACACTGGAAAAATATATATTGTGAATAACTTCTCTTACTTGAAATGTAAAAAATAATGATTAATTGGATGTTTTCTTATTTCAATACTGCCACAAGAAATTGTTTAAATCTTCTTACATTTTAAAATGCATTGGCTTAAATTATATTATTAAAAACAAAAGTAATTAATTACATTAACAATTAATTGAATATAAAATATTTGTTATGATAAAATACCTAAAGAAAATTAAATTTTCTAATGTTAGAGTTTGAGCAGATTAACTATATTACTAATGAAGAATTACTGGTTCTTTATTATGGCAAATGTTATATGTAACCGCAAAATGCGTTTTAGATGAGGAAACCACATCTTCTACTTTAGGATAAAATATTAGAAAACTAGTGCTTTAATATTGTTTTTCGGATAAGTTGGGGGCCTCATGCAAAAGGAACTTGGGCCAGAGAAATGTATGACAAATCAAATAAAATTAATTGTAAATAAATCTAGACGATTTAAAGCCTTCAGCACCCCAAACACAGTCACTATAACAAAAAACCAGATAGCTCTTATCTGGGCGCGGGTGTAAAACCTAGGAAAGGCCCCGCCTATGGCCAATATCTGAACAATCGAACGGGGGCAAAAAAATTTCACTTATATATAGAGTAGTTAGTGTTACGTGTGACTTTGAATGTGCGTCTGATCAATGGTCTTCCCACTCAATGCATTTGCCTGGAATTGATTTAATGTATACTAAATGCACAATTAGCCTCTACTTTGATGTTAAATTATATACTGATATTTATAGTTAATAGATGCATACACTTTGCCAAGTTGTTTTTTTAACGAAAGAGCGAAAAATATAAAAAAAACACTATTTATATTAACACATAATTTATCAATAAAGAGTGTAATATTAATCAACCAAAATAAACGTTTGTAAAAAACTAAATAGACCGATGTCAAGTGAATTATGTGCGAACCATAATGGGGATTTATATTTATGCGTTCAATGGAAGTAATGTGGATGCTGAAAAGTGGTATGGTAATGCAATGGGATGGGATTAAACCACTGGAATGCTGCATACTTTTTGGCGACTGCGGCAAATTCAACACGCATGGCGACTTTAATCTTATCTCTGCACCCGCATTTGTCACAAATTTTAGATAATTATTTCCGATTGCCGGACACGGCCGGAAGTTCTGATCCCCGGACCGGTTGACTAAGCAATTTGCCAGGTCCAATCATATATATATTTTCGTATAATGGGCTACATCATATTTTCATATCTTTACGCTTCGTTTTCGATCAATTCTATCTATGGTATACTTCGATTGTCATAATGAGCCAGCTGTTGATTGATTGCCCGGGGAAATTATGGCAGGGGGTTGGGGTTTAGATGGGTGGTTTTGGATGGATGGTGGCTTTGCGGTTACCGTGTGTCAGTGGCTCGTTAGTGGATGGCATGGCCCCACACTGTCGTGCTCAGTGTGAATTTGACAAATAATTACATAAGACAACCTGCTGTGCGAATTGTGCCCATCCTCCCGCACATTTCAATGGCCTCTGATGGATGTTTTTCCCCCCCAAACCATCCTGGTTTTGTCAGTGACGCGACGAATCGCATAATTGACCCACATTTTGAACAAATGCCGCGGCCAGCAATCAAAACAGAGAGACGGAAAATATAGAGAGACCTACGAAGTCAATTTAATTAGCAGCAACATTTGGCTAGCATCAAGAACTGCACCTCTAGAATTTGCACTTTTAGCGCTAGAATGCGTCTAAGAAGACGCCGCTGAGTGAAGAAGCGTTGACAGCAGCGGAATGTTCGGCATGTTCAGTTACAATTGCCCTACTACATTGTACATCTAATTTTGAATCCGAAATAATAAAATTGAGAATTAATTTAGATCTAATGCCATTGGATCTTTAGTAAGCTGCGCCAAGAAAATGATATATGCTCTCATAAAAAAATCAAAAAAATGTACTAACAGTTTTGACTAAACAACTCTTATAATTAAAAGAATTTCTTTGTAAATTATAATAAAAATCCTAGATCAATTCACTTTGATTGCCATAAAAATGTTTCTTAAAAAGTTTACCAAATAAGAAAAAAATGATTTTCCATAGAACATCTAAACTTTAAAGATTCAAAGGAAATCATTGTACTTTTCCAAATGCAAACTAATTTTTTACCTATAAACAACCGCATTCCAAAGATCTAATAAAGTCAGCCGGCATTTCCCTTTAATTTCAAATCCCCAACCCAATCGCAACTAGAATTTTGGGGTTGCCAGCGGGATTATCCCCTGATTATCCTCCCATCGATTCGAAGTGAAAAACTGCCGAATGGCCAATACCGAAAAGAGGACAACTGCTGTGCCATGCAAATCCATTGACAAGTGTCGCATAATCATGCCCCATGCCAAATGTAAATGCAAATGGCAAAATGCTAAATTTATGCACTGCATGCGTGAAATTAAAAGGTTCCCCGGCGGACTTACAGCACTTTTTGGGCCTGATTTTTGGACCCGGTTCGCCAACAGAGGCTTGCGCAATTTACCCACTTTCATGCGGTTAACAATTTGGCTAAATCAATTATACGCACGGCGAACAACGCGAATTCGAGTGTTTTTTGTTTTCGTGGGGATTTTAAGCTTAATTGAGAGATTTCCAGGGAAATCGTGGCCGTGGTCGGAAAAGTTGGGAAAAATTTAATACGAAAATTGCTGAAAGAATTCCTAGCTGGCCACAAATTTCGTACAAAATGCCAATAAAATACGCTCCAGCGCAAAAATTCCATTCCACATAAGAAGAAGGTAAATTGAGGTGGGAGGCAGGTAAAAATATTTCACACTTCCGGTGCGGAGGATGCTCCACCTGAACCTCTGACGGCGTTGCCAACAGGATATGACAAGCTCGGACACCTTTTCATCCCCCCCCCCCCCAAGCTCTCCTCCATTTTCTCAGCATATTTTCGGCGGCAACTTCCTGCCAGAAAACACATTGCAAATTATGATGCGAATACGGCGGATATGTGGAGTATTTTAAACTGCAAGCTAAAAAAATATATACTCATTGGTGCGTTGATGTTGATATTGGTTTTGGCTGTTCATGGAAAAACAACGATATGTAGGGCAAAGCCATTTTACTCAAATTGGAAATGGGAAAGTAAATACGGAATATAATAAAAAAGTATTATGATAAGCAGATCTTAAATGTTTATTTCAATTTAAAGAAATGTTTGCCATAAGAGAATAGTTTGGAAGAAGTCGGTATATTATGTTAGTTTTAATTTCATATTTAGGGAAATAATATTTTCACAAAAAGCCATTGAATATTTAAACGGAACTGCACCGCTTACTTGAAGGAAACAAACAAAAGCGTGGGGACACAATTGATATGGATGTGGCCAACAGGCAGGACAGGACTTTCGATGGACAGTGGCAAGAGAAGCCAGGCCAGCTTGTGGCGTAGCCAATATCCGTTGCAAGGATAACGCATGTGTGTATCTTCCTTGGACTTGTTATTGATAATCTTTGTCAGGGCTCCACGTAAAGCATCGACAGCGGCTAACAAAAAGGCAAGGAGTCACGGGATAACAGCGTGCCAGAAAAGGATGCAGTTAGCAAAAGTTTGGATTTGTTTTTAAAAACTTATAAATAAAAAATATTAGTAGTTATTATAAATATTGGAAAGTTATTGAAACAAAATAACTAATTAATGCATAAGAAATTATGTGTTTTTTGTTGGTTGGTTTTCCATATTTTACTTATGAACTCTCTAAATTAAATTTTTAGTTTTAATAACAGATAGTTTTCTAGATTTTCTTTATTGTGAAATATTTGTAAAATTTTCAGTTGATAATTTAAAGAATATTTTATTTAGGGAAAATTAGATTATTTAAGATTCTGATACTGATAATATATTAATTAACTTTATAAAGCCACTTGCTGTTAATGCTAATATTTCATTTTACGGTATTAGTACATTTAAGATGCCGATAAGGGTAGAACTTAAATTTACTGTATTAGGTTATTAGTGTACTAGTTTTAAAGTCAAAGGGCGTACAATATCTTTAGGCACTTAAAATTATGTACTATATTTATTTTTAAATACACAAAAATGTATTAATGATTTTTTTTAATGTAATGTTATTACTAAAGGAAATAAGACGGATTACCATAAACCTGCCTTTTTTTAAAAAATCATATTCAGAATCAACATGATCTCTTGTTTCTTGCTGTGTAAAGGAGTTCCAGGATAGGCGGCCCACGGAGTAATGAACTGCGGCAGGACCAGACAGGCGACGGGCCTTGTTTGTCCCGCCGATCGATGCAGCTGGAGTCCTGGGAAGAGGCAAGAGGCAAGTCGAGTCGAGTGTATTAAAAACAAAGTCACACTGTGTGTCCTGCATCCTTGTACGCTGCCAAAGTCAATGAACAGCGACGTGCGACGTGGACCGGCTGCCAGGATATGAAGCGTGTGCGAAAGTTTTCCACAATTAGGATGTGTCCTGCTCGTCCCCCCCTGACAACCTCGTGGCAATAAAAAAGTTTAAAGTTGCGTTTAAATATGCATTCCATAATTCATGAATCCAGGCGGGGAGCTTTGATTTTCCAGTCAACGCCGACAGCAACACGTTTCCGCCATTTTGTTGGCTGGCTGGCAACTTGTTGCATTTTCTGGTAGGAAAATGGGTGATCGGGGGAAAGTGGCAGGAAAATGTTGTCCTCCCGAACACGTTGAAATTTCCGCCAGACAACGAACGATGCTGAAAAGCTGAAAACTTGCCAGTCTGACATTCAAATCGCACGATTGTGTGTGCGCCAGATTGCAGGTGTGCATTCGGCACTTGAGTGTGATTCTATGCGAGGCTTTTCATTTTCAATTATATACAATTACATGTCCAACTGTCAACTTTCAGTTAATAATGAACAAAAAGAAGAAAAGAACATAGGACAACATCCTGAAATAGGTGCCACTTAGTTGCGCCCCAGGTAGTTCTTAAAATCATCCGAATTTTCCGCCTTGCTCTATTTTTGACCACCTCCCTCTGTAACACAGTTCAAAGATTTTTCCCATACCCTTTCCTATTTATGTTTAGCTTTTTAAAAACGTATATAAACAAAAGCACACACCGTCATCGTCATCGGTTTCTTAGTATTTACATTCGCATAAAATAAACGTTTGGGTAAATAGATATAATTCTCTGGCGGATCGAATCAAATGAAATCAAATGAACTTACTTTTTAATATAATTTCCTCACTATAAATGTATCTAGAGCAGACAAAAATTATTCACCCTCGGCGCAGATTGACATTAATTGTTTAAATTGAGGCGGATACGCCTGGCTGGCCAGCGGAATTCTTATAAATTGTATTCCGGCACGGGTGAGTTCCATCGAAGGATTTACGCATCCCATATACAAGATTGGACTTTGGATACTTGTGAGTTCGGAAACTTTCTTGAAGGGTTTAAGTAATTACGGGAACTATACGAATTTATGGAAGAGGAAATAAATA